CTATTTTTTTTTCAAAATATATATATATATATATATATATATATATATATATATATATATTGTATTATGGCACAATTTTTATTTAAATTACCACAAATTAAAGCCAGTTCATCAAATACTAACATGACGTATACACACTTTACATGTTAAGCTATATTTTACAATGGCAATGCATTTTTTTTTAATATATTTATAAAAATTTAATTATGTGTTTTTCTATTAATGTAGTAAAAAATTAGGGTGTAAATGTGCATTATATTAAGTTATCAATGTGTCTGTCCAGTAACTAATGATGAACGCGCAGTTTGCAGAGAAGCATTTCAGATGCTCACGGAGGACTGTCTGACTTAAAGGGATAGTTCACCAAAAAATGAAAATTTTGTCATCGTTTACACACCCACAAGTTGTTCCAAACCTGTAATAATTTCTTTCTTCTGTTGAACATAAAAGAAGATACTTTAAATAATAAATTTCTGGTCCCCAATGAATATGATAGTATTTAAATTTTTTTAGTAATTTAGGAAGTTACAACCAGCAGCTGTTTATTTGAGACACATTCTTCAAAGTGTCTTCTTTATGTTCAACAGAAGAAAGAACTTTATGCAGGTTTAGAACAACCTGGGTAAATTATGACTAATTTCATTTTTGTGTGAACCATACCTTTAAAGTGACAGTCACATCCGTGCTTCTAAAGGTATAGGCCTATTGTTTTATTAAAATTTGGATAGTCTGTTAATATAATATTCCATTCATTATCAGAGCTTGGTAGACATAATTATTATATTTGTAGACATGATTAGACAGATAAGTTAATATATTATAATTAATGTTAGACGCTATTTATTAATGTATCATTGATATTAATCATAAATATATTTATGATTAAGTTTACATACTTGAACATTTTCTCATGGTTTATTGTTGAGCTATGAGTTCCTCACTGATTATTTGTGTCCGTGTTTTTTTTTTTTATGGGTCGTGAATGGGTGTCCCTTATTTTGCCTCACTGAAGGTGGCAACCCTGGTTTTTTTGACACATTTCAGAACTGTACAATTTTGTGTAGTAAGATGTGCCACATCTTAAAATTGCATCTTATTGTTACTGTTAGCTAATATGCACACAACTTTCAAAAGTGCTAAGCAGTGACACATATGTTAATAGAGTCAGTAAGCACTTCATTTTAGCTTCCAGTATCTAGTGCAAACTGTAAGGCTAATATACTTAATTCAGGAATAATTCAGGTAACTAGCTACAAGCTAAATATATCAACATTTTAACTGATTTTAGCTAACTTGGTCAACAAGATTCAAACTGTTGTTCCACCAGTAGCTGACCTGAAAGTGAAACTGACCATAGCAGCAGTTTATGTTAATGCTTGCTAATGTGGCAATGAGTAATCCTTGTGTTACGTAACATACTTAACATTAGTGTTTAGCATTTGCATTTTTATGTTACTGTGGCAGTGACAAGCCTCAATACTAAAGTGGTCAAGAGAATTACCTTCAAATATCTGTGCTATTAAACAATATATATTCATGTAGCTAAAAGTTAAACATATCAACAATTTGACTAGCTATATCTAACTTGCTTAGCAAGATTCAAACTGTTCTTCTGTCAGTACAGTTGCTGACCTGAAAAACAAAACTGACCATAGAAGCACTTAATTTATGCTTATGCTCGCGAATTTAAACACGCACATTTTGTGTTACGTTGTTAAGTTGTGAGACTTTGAAATAAAGAAGGGAATTTGATAAATTGTTGTTAAATTTATTTTTCCTCATACTTAATTTTGATTAAGCTAATTTCAGTGATGTGAAAGTTTCCCATCTTCAGTCGTTTCTTCTTTCCTTGTGGCTGGTATGAGGATGTTATGGAGCGCGTCTGGGCTGATGACATATTTTTGTCAGGCATCATTGTGCTAGCTCATGTACGCCCAGAGGACAAAAGGGAATGAATAGCATTCATTTGTCTAATTAGCATCTAAATGAGCATATTTATACTCCCTGTTGAGTGTTCAACAACAGATAAGGAGTTCTCACTTTGCATTTACTTTTCATTCAAAATATAATAGTTTTCTATGTTTTTGACCGTTGACGGAAATCTTCTCTAGACTGCCATATGTTATCTTGTTCATTTCTCTACATTAAATGTTGAATGCTAACAAAGCTAGTTTCCTCAAATGCTGGAAAAGCCAACTTTTACATTGTTTAACAAAAAATGGTGTGCCGGATTTTAGCTAAACTGTTTAATTACTCTCTTTTCAGTAGTTACAATATAAAAATGTTTCCTTTGCCAAAGCAAGTCTCGCTGTTGCTAATTAGGGTTAGGAATTTGAACAAACCCATTATCCTAAGTATTATTCTGTGATTGAGTTACATTTTGATGTGTCTCAGGAGCGATCAGCTCAATGTGGGAGACTACATCAAGTCAGTCAATGGCATCAACCTGACCAAGCTGCGTCACGACGAGATCATCAGTCTGCTGAAGAACATAGGCGAGCGTGTCGTGCTGGAAGTGGAGTATGAACTGCCTTCACCTGGTAGGAAGTTGAGTATTCTGACTTTTGCCTGTCTTGTGGCATGTTCCTATCAATGTACAATCTCAGACCACATGATTGAATATCATCGTGAAAATGTCTTTTTGTGTCAGTAAGTCCACTTCAGCTTGTTTATATATATATATATATATATATATATATACAGATGCATCTCAATATAGTAGAATGTCATGGAAAAGTTCATTTATTTCAGTAATTAACCTCAAAAAACACAATGGACCAACACCAGCAGATGACATTGCACCCCAAATCATCACAGACTGTGGAAACTTAACACTGGACTTCAAGCAACTTGGGTTAATTCAATTTGAGTTGAATTACTGAAATAAATGAACTTTTCCACGACATTCTAATTTATTGAGATGCACCTGTATATATATGTGACCCTGGACCACAAAACCAGTCTTAAGTCTCTGGGGTATATTTGTAGCAATGGCCAAAAATGCATTGTATGGGTCAAAATTATTGATTTTTCTTTTATGCCAAAAATCATTAGGATAGTAAAGATCATGTTCCATGAATGTATTTTGTAAATTTATACAAAATATATTCAAACTTAATTTTTGATTAGTAATATGCATTGCTAAGAACTTCATTTGGTCGACTTTAAAGGTGATTTTCTCAGTTTTTAGATTTTTTTGCACCCTCAGATTCCAACAAATAACAAATAACAAATAGTTGTATCTTGGCCAAATATTATCTTATCCTAACAAACCATACATCAATGGAAAGCTTATTTATACAGAAAAATTGACCCTTATGACTGGTTTTGTGGTTCAGGGTCACATATAATTATACACAGAAATGCAGAATGTATGGCTGCATGTTTATAGCTGCTATGTGTCATTTTTGGGTGCTAAAATAATTTTTTCCTATTTCAACTTAATATGCAGAGACAAATAAGCCAGTCAGTTATTTCGAAAAGCTATTCAAACGTTACTATTTTGGTTTGAGTGGTGGACATAGCAACATTAGCTTTACCAATTGGTTGAATATACTATTTTTGCTTTTCTGTTGTTAAGGGGCCCCGAAATAGCACACTTAACTCCCATTTACCATTGGTCAGATGAATAGATAGTCATGCCCCGAATTCACGCCATTGATTGAAACATTGTTGCTGGCTCAGATTGCGATGCTCAAACAAAAAGAGCATCATCTTAAAGTACCACATTGTGCACTTTTTGGTGATATTAGCCTACACATGGCTTACTTATCACAATAAATAAGTAAATAAATAAATCACACATATGATCCTTAAATACCTCATGCAATTGTTTTAACAAATGCAATACCATGATATTGATGATGGACTATACACCACCCAGGGTTTTGTTTGCCATACTGTACATCAGCATGACTTACTCTTGTATGATGCATAGTTGGAGCAATCAACTAGCTAGCCATCTGTTTTCCAAAATCATAGAATCTTGGTGGCACATCCGTTGTCCACATGTCGTACTATCAAGAAACTATGCTTCCAACCACAAGTCAAGATCTGTTGTTTCAATCGCACAGCTTTTCAAATGTTTGTGAATGTTCGCTGGAACTGTGGGAAACACCAAATCTTTGAACTATGTTGATAATGTCGGAACTTACAAACATGGTTGGCTAATACTAACAAGAAACTATGCTTCTAACCATAGGTCGAGAATTGTAGATCCATCCAAACAACTTTGCGAATGTTCGTTGAAACTGTAATTTCTGGAAACAGTGAATTGTTGAACTATGTTGGTAACGATGGCATTTGCGACCGTAGTTGGCTAGTACTAAAAATAAACTATGCTTCTAACTGCAGGTCAAGAGCTATAGTCCAACCACATACATTTTTGATGCTGATGTGAATGTTGGAACTATGATTTCGGGAAATATCAAATCGTAGAACTATGTTGGTAACGACCAAATTTGCAATTATAGTTAGCTAATACTAACAAGAAACTCTGCTTCTAACCACAGGTCGAGAGCTGTAGTTCCAACCAAATAATTTTACAATGCTGTTTATGAATATTTGTTGGAATTTTGGACATTTTTTGTTTTAAATTGTAGAACTATGTTGGTAACGACAAAATTTGCGATCATAGTTAGCTAATACTAACAAGAAACTATGCGAGGACGAGAGCTGTAGCTCCAACCACACAACTTTACAATGCTGTTTACGAATGTTCCTTGGAATTATGATTTCGGGAAACAGCAAATCGTAGAACTATGTTGGTAATGACCGAATTAGCGATTTTAGTTCGCTAATACTAACAGAGCTGTAGCTCCAACCACACAGCTTTGCGATGATGTTTGTGAATGTTAATTGGAACTAGGGTTTGTGAACACAGAATCATTAAGTATGTTAGTAATGATGGAAGTTGCGACCACAGTTAACTAATACTAACAAGAAAATATGCTTCTAACCACAGGTCAAAAGCTGTTGTTCCAACCACACAGCTTTGTAATGTTATTTGAGAATGTTTGTTGGAACTATGGTATTAGGAAATCACAAATCATAAATATATGTTGATAAAGATCAAAATTGTGACCATAGCTGGCTAACAGTGCTTTTGGGAAAAGCACACCAGGCTGATTCATTGGCAGATGTTTGGTCAGTTGGAGATTGTCATCAGTTTACCGGCTGATAATCTTTAAAGCTTGTACAAAATCATCCAAAATCTATCATCAACCTTGTAAACGAATAGTACGCATTTATTTTATTTTTTTTGTGTGAATACATTTTGCAAAATGTATCATCTGCATTATATGTTGACCATTTGCCAACCATTTCTAGATATGGCATTGCCATTGACCAATTTAAATATATATATATATATATATATATATATATAGTATATATATACATACATATATATTTGATCAACCTCTAGTGAATTTAACAACACTGAAATTTGCACAGCCATGCACTCTCATTATAATGGATCGAGGTGATTGTCTCTCATTGGCTCAGTTTGGCATGTGTGGTGATATATTGCGATCGTTAGCCAGTCTGTCTTGTGCATGACAGATAAATTGCCTGGTTTATAAGCTCAGTGTTTCTGGCTGACCTTCTGCTGAACGTCAGTTTGCATCTGGGTTTATTTATCTGATTGTCCGCCAGATATGGCCGTTCGCCCAGTAAAAGATGCTGATTTAGAGATGCTATTGCCTCTCTACTGTCTCTGTTGTCCCTCTTAGCGCCAGATAGTACCGCAGGTGTTATTTCCAAGACAATCGAGATCTGTTTGCAGAAAGAGGGCAACAGTTTCGGCTTTGTTATGCGAGGTGAGTTTGGGTTTGTTGCCACTCATTTTATTTTATTTTATTTATTTATTTTAATCCTTTTTATAATATTCCTAAAATCAATTGTTGCAGATGTGTATATATGTGTATGTGTATGTGTGTGTGTGTGTGTGTGTGTGTGTTATAATACAGGTGGATCCCATGAGGACTGGCACAGATCTCGTCCTTTGGTGGTCACCCACGTCCGACCAGGTGGTCCTGCTGACAGGTAGTGCACAACGCAAAATGAGGCATTTGAAGTTTATGCAAAAGCTTTTTTTTCACTGATGCTGTTTTGTTCAGTGACTCATTGTCTACGATTTATTTAATCATCAAAAGTGTCCAGTAATAGAGGCGTCACTAAGACAAAATGAGAAGTATTCGGCAGGTCATGTGATCTGAAAATGGCCGCCACCATGAGGAGCTACCCATCGAAAGTAGAATAAAGCAGCTTTTAAAAAAATTTGCCAGATAGCTTGAACTGGATTTGTTAGCTTAGTAGGCTAATTGATTAGCGTACCAACTGCAGGGCAGGACAGAATGTTAGCTTAGCAGGCCAGAAGAAGCTTGGTCAACCAAAATTTTATTAGTCGCAGAAAAAAAAAATACACAGGCGATTTCACGCAGTCTGTGACGGACAGATCGTTAACGGCTAGTCTTTGGTAATACAGTACATCGGGCAGGACTATCATTTTCATCAGGACTATTGTCTATCATTCATCGACCTCAAATATGGCTTATCATCTGAAATATGTAAGTAGCCTATTAGCAACTTTACATGGCCACTCAATCTAATGTTAACCTAGAGAAATATGTTCTGTTCAAGTGTTTGTGCGGAGTGTGGAAGCTGAACAGTAGCTCACTGCAGGACAGATGGAGGTGCCGGTATGCTCACTTGATCTTAAAATACTCCCTAATTTTTGGTCATACAGATACATGTAATACATCTTTCGAATCTGTAAAGACTCTACATTTATTTGTGTGTGTATTTGTGTGAGCACAATACCGTGCTTATGTGAAAGCAAACAGGATGCGCTTTCCGCCATCTCGGTCTGTAACTTGAGCGCGAAACTCCGTGAATATCTTTGCCTTACACCCTGTTGAAAAAACAGCATATGCTGGTTAGGTATGTTTTGACGCTGGAATGCTGGTTTATGCTGGTCCTTTGCTGGTTTAAGCTGGTCCTTTGCTGGTTTATGCTGGTCCTTTTGCTGGTTTAAGCTGGTCCTTTGCTGGTTTATGCTGGTCCTTTTGCTGGTTTAAGCTGGTCCTTTGCTGGTTTATGCTGGTCCTTTTGCTGGTTTAAGCTGGTCCTTTGCTGGTTTATGCTGGTCCTTTTGCTGGTTTATGCTGGTCCTTTGCCAGCACATGACCAGCATAAACCAGCAAAAGGACCAGCATAAACCAGCAAAGGACCAGCATAAACCAGCATCCCAGCGTCAAAACATACCTAACCAGCATATGCTGTTTTTTTCAACAGACATTAAAAATATATCTATATAAAAAAAATGTCTACTTTAAAATGAAACATGCATACAGGCACATCACTACTGCAGAGATGACGAGGCGGCGACTTTATCTCTGAAGCTGAAAACAAAGAAAGCACTAGTTTATCAAATTATTAAAATGTTAATGCAGTCTCCTTACTGTTTTTCACTGACATATTCATAATCATTACTACTGCCGGTGCGCTGTGGCAAGCTTTATGCATGTACTTGAGCACTTATTAGGCTATGTAGGCAATTAAATGCTCATTATAATTGTCACGTATCCGGTCCATGAACTTCCGTCTACTAGCCATCAGAGGTCACCCTTCCCATTTCATTGACTCTTGCACTACACCCTGTTGCATATCACCCCGGACTACATATCCCATCATCCACTGCACTAACGACACACACACTGTTGATTGCACAGCACTGATTGCACACAGCTGTTATCACTCACACATCCCCTATTTAACTCTCACTCTGATCCAATTGCACTGCCGAGTATGGTTGAGCACTTATCAGTTTGATAGCTACACTATTTAGCCTGTTAGTTTTGTTTCCTTGTTTTGTTTTGCCTTGCCTTGTCAGTTTTCTCGGTTCTGATCTTTGCCTGTCTCCCTGGATTTATCCCTCTAGTCTCGCCCCTGTGGTTCTGTCTGCCGATCGTCGACCTACGCTAGTCCTAGGACTATTCTTGTGTTTTGCCCGCCATATACCTGTCTGCCTTTATCTGACCCATGCCTGTTGTATGACCACGTCTCTGTCTTCTCCTAAATAAAAGCTTGCATATGGATCCGCACGTCTCACGTCTGGTCAGCCCCATGACAGAATACTCGGCCACACAAGGATCCAGCAGCTTTTCATGTGGACATTGGCCAGGTATGGACACTGCAAGTCTGTTATTAACCCTCGAGCAGGGCTTGCGAGCGCTCGAGGATTACGTGCAAGAGTATTTAGATCTTGCATATTTTTCTGATCTGCCTGACTGTATGCTCATAGACTTTTTTTGTGAGGGTATCAATGAACCTTTAAAGACACGATTAATCCGTGAGGGTCCCCGTTCTTCTCTAAGTGATTTTATGGATTATGCTCTGTTGTCTGTTGGTTCAGCGTTCACTGTGGGTATCGCAGAGGAACGCGACCCCGCACTCACCCGTGTAATGGAGGCCGCGCTAGAGCACGCTCACAAAATGGCGGACACAACAGCGCCCCGTCAAGTCACCGTTGATCTTCACGAGTCAAGTCACAGTGGATCATCATGAGTCAGGTCTAGTCACAGCTGATCTTCATGAGGCAAATTAGGTCACAGTTGATCTTCCTGAGTCTAGTTACAGTTGATATTCCTGAGTCGAGTCTAGTCACAGTTGATCGTCATGAGTCAAATCGAGTCACAGTTCATTATCATGAATCTGGTCAAGTCACCGCTGATCGTCCTGAGTCGAGTCGAGTCACAGTTGATCGTCCTGAGTCGAGTCGAGTCACAGTTGATCTGCCAGAGCCTCATCACGTCTCGGCTGTTCGTCCAGAGCCACGTCACGTCACGGCTGGCCTTCTAGAGTCTCGCCATGTCTCGGCTATTCATCCAGAGTCACGTCGCGTCACGGCTATTTGCTCGTCCTGTTCCGGCCAAGGAGGCCGTCTACGCACTCTCTGCCTGTCCTGTTCCGGCCAAGGAGGCCGTCTATGAGCTCTTTGCTCGTCCTGTTCCGGCCAAGGAGGCCGTCTATGAGCTCTCTGCCTGTTCTGTTCCGGCCAAGGAGGCCGTCTATGAACTCTCTGCTTGTCCTGTTCTGGCCAAGGAGGCCACCTATGAACCCTCTGCCTGTTCTGTTCCGGCCAAGGAGGCCGCCTATGAACTCTGTCTATCCTGTCACAGCTATATAGGCCGTTTGCGAACTCCCAGCTCATCCTGTCACAGCTATAGAGGCCGCTTGCGAACTCCCTGCTCGTCTTGTCACAGCTATAGAGGCCATTTGTGAACTCCCTGCTCGTCCTGTCACAGCTATAGAGGCCGTTTGCGAGCTCCCTGCTCATCCTGTCACGGTCGTGGAGGCCGTTTGTGAATTCTTTTCTTGCTTTGCTTCAGCCAGGGAGGTCGTTTGAGGGGGGGGGGGGGTTCCTGTTCCTTCTGCTCCGCCGTGGTGGTCTTCTGCTTTGCCGTGGTGGTCTGCTGCTCCGCCGTGGTGGTCCTCTGCTCTGCCATGGTGGTCGTCCGCTCTGCCTGCTCTGCCGTGGTGGTCTAGTGTTTGGCTCTGGTGATCCTCTGCTCTGCCGTGGTGGTTTTCTGCCCTGCCGTGGGGGTCTGCTGTCTGGCTCTGGTGGTTCCCTGCTCCACCTGTACTGCCGGCCTCATCCTGGCTCTCTGCTCTAGTTCTGATCTTTGCCTGTCTCCCTGGATTTATCCCTCTAGTCTCGCCCCTGTGGTTCTGTCTGCCGATTGTCGACCTATGCTAGTCCTAGGACTATTCTTGTGTTTTGCCCGCCATATACCTGTCTGCTTTTATCTGACCCATGCCTGTTGTATGACCACGTCTCTGTCTTCTCCTAAATAAAAGCTTGCATATGGATCCGCACGTCTCACGTCTGGTCAGCCCCGTGACAATAATGATTTAAATTGTTTATTAATAAGCGTGCGATTAGTTGACTAATGCTTTAAATGAACGACTACTAGTCGACCTTAGTCGAGGACAGCTCTAATGCTTACTGAAAACACTATTCATTTTGTTGGTGTTAAACTTTTTAGGTGAACTTGACTTTACATGAACAAAATGTATAAGCAATCTTCCATGTCTCAACACACTATATGCATTTTTTTTTCTAAATCCAGAAAGTAGGCCAGAGATTTCCCTCTCAGCTTAGACGGCTCATTATTCTTAGTTTTAAGATTTTTCCATGCCTCTCTTACCAACCACTTTTCCCTACTTGTATCAGCATCACGCAACCTGCCAAAAGAGAAAAATAAATAAACATATGTGTCTACAGAGAGAACATATTCAGTAAGACCCCTTTGATGTTAGAGACAAAGACTGCCTTGATTGACGGGTGGAAATTGTATGCGTTGTCTTTCCTGAAGGCCCCCAGACATTTCATGAAGAAAATAGAGTTCTCTCAAACAGGTCCTCTCACATGTAGCATTAATCATTATTGTGGAATATCAATAATTTTTTAAAGAAGCTGACTACCTAGGCAGCATAATAAGACATCAACCTTATGTTGCCTTCAAAAATACCAAAAATTCATGGACTAAGTGCAAAAAGATATTTTGAAAGCTTAAATATATTCATTCAAAATTATTTATAAACTTACTCTAAAAGTTTAATTTGCATTAGTTGACATGAGCTATCAATGAAAAATACTATAAAAATAAAGCATTTATTATTAATATTAGTTAAAAGATAAAACATTAAGTTCAAAAGTTGTACTTTTAACATAAGTTAATGCAATGTGAACTAGCTTTACCATTTTTTATTAACTTACATTAACAAAGGATAATACTGTAAAAAAATAATTGCTCATTGTTAGTTAATGTTAGTTAATGAATTAACTAATGGTAACAAATGAAATCTTATTGTAAAGTGTTACTGAAATATAAATTCTATTGAAAATATATCTGAAATTATGCCATGATAAAATATGGTTCTCCAATTCGTACTAGATTTATAGATATGATTTATATAAAAAGTCATTTTTATTCAAATAAGTTATTGAAAAATGACACTACTGACACTATTATTACAATTTAACTAGTTTAAATATGACAATAACTGTTTTCTACTTTATTATATTTTAAAATGTAATTTATTCCTGTGATGGAAAAGCTGACTTTTCAGAAACTATTAAGAAACATCAGATTTTATATAAAATATAATAGCTATCGCTTTTGATCGATTTAATGATTAATTTCTTAATAAAGGTATTAATTTATTTAAATAAAAATTTTGCTGATGCCAAACTTTTAACCAGGAGTGTATGTGTTATACATTTCATTGATAATATGACTGTTCCGCATATGTTCTTGTGCAGAGAAGGGACTCTAAAAGCAGTGGATCGGATCTTAAGTGTGGATGGTGTGGTTTTACACAGTGCCACTCTCAGTGATGCTCTTACTGTTCTGACTCAGTGTGGACAGGAGGCTCTGCTCCAGATCGAGTACGATGTCTCCATCATGGGTGAGTTACTTCAATTGCGCTTGCTTTATATGTTGACAGAATAGAAATTCCACATGTCCCAGTGGATTAACGTGCCATTTGTTTTGTATGTTGCACTTTGAAAAGAAATGATGAATTAACCCTCATAATGCCATCAAAATCTGTGACATCTTATTACCATGTTATTAGTAAGTTATTACCATAACTGCATTTACACGTTTTTTTTAATAAAAAAGAAATATAAAACATCTTAATATAAAAGAGAAATTTTATGAACCACACACACACACACAAAATCAAAATATGCAAAATAAATTTTTCAGTTTTGATGAGAAATTTTATTTGAATATATACGTATGTAATTTATAAAAACATTTACTCTGAGAATTACCATGATTATTCCCATTGGAATGAATGGAATTAAATTCCTTTGAATTTATAACTCATGATTGCTTGAAAACAGTCCACATTTGTGAAACCTACATATTTATTTTTAAAAACAAAGCATAAATATTAATCTGAAAAGTTTTCAGACAAAAGAAATTTACTTGACTTGCATAAACCTTTGCCGTCAGATTAAAAAAGTGATCAATTATTCATGCTGCAATAGTTCATCAGTAGGCCTTTAAAGGGGTCCTATTATGCTCTTTTACAATGTCTTGAATTTGTTTTGGGGGTGTACTAGAACATGCTCTCATGCTTGGTGGTTCGAAAAACGCATAATTTTTTACATAATTTACATTATTACAATACCTTTCTCCCCATCCTAGCACAAATGGCTCGATTAGTTCCAGGTTTGATGAAGGCCCGCCTTCCGAAAAACGAAATGTGACGTGATTGGTTAGCTGTCCCAGTGCGTTGTGATTGGCAAACAGCTTAGACGGTGCTTCAGTACTGCCACGCCCCTTGCCAAACCAGCAAGTTCCGGAGTTGAATTTATTTATACCATAGTCCAGTGTTTCCCAGGAGGCATATATATGCAAACTCATTCTCTGCCAGCAGGAGGCGCTGTTGGAGTGGTAGATATCAAGGTTTCCCCAGTAACGCTGTACGCAAAGCAGCGCTCTGCTAAAAAAAACACTGCTTTATCAGACATTACATGCAAGATTAAATGAAAATGACATCCACTTTTCTGAAGAAAGTCGGTTTCCATCAGAAATACAGTGATATAAAAACACCTGCACTCAATGTATGGGAAACACTGTAGTCTCATAATTGAAGTGTAAATTCTGCAGATTACATCATTGTCCAGTATTGTACTGTCAGCAATTTATTATAAAAACTTTTTCATAATTGTAACATACATAATTATTCAGGTGCATGTGTAATAACTTGCGAAAACTTGAGGCTACAGCAGCACTTCTTCTTCGTCGTCGTCTTGTATGATGCACTCAACCAAGCGTTCTAACCACGACCTCGCCCCTCCCCACCCCCCAACCATTCGAATTTCCGTAGGCGGGAATTATTTTAATGATATTCTAATGGGCCGCTTTGTGATATCACAAAACCTGGAAAACAAATGCTGTAGTCGAAAAACGAAATATCTCCCTTTGGAGTGGACTTTGAGATTTGTAAGTTTGAAGATCTTTGTTATGCCCAAACATACACACTGACTAAAATTCAAATAGTAAAAAAGCATAATAGAACCCTTTTAAAGTCATGTTTATCAACAAGGCTAGATATGTTTTACGAAAGCTTTTTGACATTGATGTAACTTCATAGATAATTTTACAAAAAGTATTTTTGACACCAATGGTATTCCATACATACCCGGATATTACCTAAGAAAAAGAATTATAATTTTTTTAATTTAATAAATTAAATATTAAATAAATAAATAAATAAAGTGTATTTTGAGGGTCTTAAAGCAAACCACTTAAACTTTTTTTTTTTTTTTTTAGAAATGTTTATGTATCTCTTCCGGGTCAAACTGGACCCGAATGCATAATGAGGGGTAATCAAACTACTTCTCGAGTGCTTGTCCTTTTGTACAAAATTTTCCTGAAGCACAGAAATTTTCTCCAGTGGTCTCTGCTCTTTTTAACCATCTTCACTGTTTCATCTGGATGAACAGCAGGTTGTTGACCTTCAAGAGCGGAGAAACAACCCTCACGCCTTAACTAGTACTGTTAAGCTAATTTATGCTACAATTAGCATAACACCCACTGTTGTTCTCTTTGTAGAGTTATATGGGTCATATCCTACAACATGGAGATCTGAAATAAACTTTCAGCGCTCAAAACTTCCACAAAAAAAACTCTATATTGAATATAACGTGCAGGAAATGATCCGTTTAGAAATCACAGCATAACAGTGCTGTCCTTGTCTGTCCTTATCACCTGCCCTCAGACTCTGTGACAAACGCTTCAGGTCCTCTGCTGGTGGAGATTGCCAAGGCGCCCGGAGCCAATCTGGGAATCACTCTGACCACTGCCATGCACAGGAACAAGCAGGCCATCGTCATCGACAAGATCAAACCCGCCAGTGTGGTGGACAGGTACACACTCAATGAGCCTCATTCATTAAACACCAGCACAACAGACTACTGTGTAAATTGTAAAAGCACTTTTAAGCAATTTTCTTATGCAAATTGCTTGGAAAAACAACCAAAATTTTATGTTTTCATGAAAAACTACACAAATCATCAAACAGTATCATATAGGATTTCTGCAAAAACCAAAGTTTTGTCACTGATGCCAGTAACACTTTATTTCGATAGTCCACTTTAGACATTCTATTAACTATTCTATTCATCATCTATTAACAGCAAGTAACTTTGCAACTACATGTCAACTAGCAGTTAGTAGAGTATTAGTAGACTGTCTACTTAATATCTTCTAACACTTTCTTTGTCAACTTATTCTACTAACCCTAAACCTACCCTAACAGTCTACTCTGAGAGTTAGTAGACATGTAGTTGCAAATTGATGAGAAATATTTGACATGTAGTTGACATGTAGTTACAAAGTTACTTATAGTTAGTAGAATGTCTAAAGTGGACTATCGAAATAAAGTCCAACCCCGATGCCAGTTACGTAAATTGGGTAAATTATATGAACTGTGAATAGTGTGTAAAAATATTTTTGACAATTTTGTTTCTTAAGTTGTTTGTAAATGAGACCTCATGTAAATAGTTTTACTACTTACCTAAAATTTTAGGTGCATTTTAGTAAAACCATGCTTTTGTAAATGATTTTCTTTCTTCTCAAAAATAAAAATAATTTCTGTGAAAATGGTTTTACAAACATTTTTTTTATAAGTAATTTATTCAAACTATTTCTACATAATAACATATTTTTTTCACATTTCTTTTCATATAAATTGTTTGTAAAACCATTACTCAACCCTAACAAAATTGTTCACAAAGCTTTAAATCATCCAACACAAATTTTTCATAAAAACATTCTTACAGTAGATTTTATTTCTGTATTTTTTGTGATTTTGTTCTGTAACAATTTTTTACGTAATTGTATTTTTTAATGTATTAAAAATGTGTTTGTTACAAAATTCTTCTGCAAATGATTTTCTTTTTTTCCTATGTAGTTAACAGTCATTTTTACTTAAATGTCTTTAAGTTTTCCTACAAAAGTTGTCCGTAAAAACAAATCTTACATAAAGGATTTTATCTTTGTAAAACCATTGTTGCACAATTGATTTGATTTTTATCTAAATTGATCATAAATTAACTATTTTTTTTAATAAATGCATTTGTTTTGTATTTCATTTTTTTTACCTTAATTGTTCAGAAGACAGTTCAGAAGGTTCTTCAGAATATCTTCCTATTACATAAATTTTTTGAAAAACCATGTCATAAAACTATTTTTTTACTTTTACAGTAGTGTTTTTTTAATATAAATTATATGTATATTTTTTTCTTAATTGTTCCCAAAACTATTTTTGTGAAGGATGTTAATTTTTTAAAGAAAAAAACAACATTATTTGACAAATTATATGATTCTGTCTTATGATTCTTATGAAATGATTTTATGAACAATTTCCAAAGAAATTCTTCTTATAATATCCATAGTCATTAACTGTGCAGTCACATTTACCTTACATTTAAATTGTAAGTTAAATTAATTAATTAAATTAATCCCTCAGAAATATGTAATTTTAATCAAGGTAATTTTAATCTGTTATAGTTATTAAGATGCATGTTTCTTTTTTCTTAGCAGTAGAATTATAGAATTAATTTTCTTGTGAATATGCATTTTATGTATTATTGTTTTTATTACATTTTAAAGACAACATGAAACCTCATTCCCCATCCTCTACTTCCTTTTCCCCCCCATATATTTCACACATTTCTGAGGGAAATAGAGCACTCAGATTCATTATTATGGTCATTTGGGTGAGTTTTGATGTTGTATTTGACACGTCCCACATTTATGACAGTTCTAGCAGTTCTCTGTTTGCGTCTCAGGTCCGGAGCGTTACACGTGGGTGATCATATCCTGTCTATAGACGGCACGAGCACAGAGCACTGCTCCGTCCTGGAGGCCATGCAGCTGCTGGCCAGCACTACTGATCAGACCAAACTAGAGATCCTCCCCGCACACCAAACACGCCTGCCCGGGAAACCCCAGGACACTGGTGAGAGACGGGAACATGTGGGCACTGCTGAGCTTTTCCAGACATGGATTAGACTTAATCTAAGACGTCTTCAACAGATGGTTGAATCTGATCTTGGAACGGACCTAAACTATGTCTGGAAAACTGTCTGTGAATCTAACATACGGGTCAAAGACAAAACTATGATTATTAATGATTGATGATTTTTGTCCATATATGTTCATTTATTCTGAAATCCTTTTAAAATATGTAAATTCTGTCAGGACCACTATTGTCAAAGATGATTGACAATTAGCATACAGTTTGGATTGGCGGTATGGTTCTGTTCTGGGCAAGAACTCCCTGCGCATCCATGCAGCTTAGCATGGATGAGAGCAGGGAGAGCAGCGATAACCCCCCCAGGGTAAACAGAACAGAACCAACATAAATGTATTGCAGATATCGTTAAAGTTCAATAATGTTATGTACACATTTTAGAATTAGTCTGATTCAAAGGAGAATCAGAAGGCTGAATCCTGACGGACAGAGGAGGAGCTGGGGATGGAGGAGGGTAATTAGCTATTGAGCAATGCGAAAACTGCTGATAATACTGAGGGACCTTATATATGAATACTTAGATAGGTGTCTTATTCCCATAGGTAGAAGGGGATCAGCTAAGAGTCAGCTGATGCGAGCTTGACTAACCTGACCTGCCAGAACTAAAGCTATGCTAGATTTTAGCATGTCTTCTATGATGAACATGTTTTTAAATTTTGAAATAAAATGTTTTATTTTATTTTTTTGTCATGTGGGTCAGAGTGATACAACTGTCCTTTTGTTATTATTTTATTATTAATTTCATTATTTAATTATTAATCTTTTATTATTATTTATTGTTATTTCATGTTTTCTCATTAAAATCATAAGATTTCCTATTTTACAAAATCATAAGAAACCATGAATACAAAAATTACAAAAAAAAACAAAATTAAGAATATATTTAAATGTTTGTTTTTGTTTGTTTGTTTGTTTTCCCTGGGGAAATAATAATTAAGATAGCATGTATTCAAGGTGAATTGAGGGTTACACTATGTGACATTAAGTCATTTAAACTTTTCTTGAAAAGAGTTTGTACTAAATCATAAGAAAACATGAATACAAAAATTACATTTCTAAGAACTTGGTGCATGCATTTTAAACTAAATTTTTTTAACCTTTCTTTTTCATTTTATCTTGGACAGACTTGGATAGTCTTATTTGTCATTGAGCAAATCGATTTTATTATGGTCGTGGAGTACCATATACGTAAATGCAATGGTATGTGATCATGGTAATCATTCAAAACCATCATACTGAACCACAATACGTTTTGCGAAGTCTATGGCAACCTTTTGTTTCCCTGTTTGTTCCAAAGGAGGTCATAATAATCTCTCTAATTATAGTGATATAAACCTCACATGTATCCTCTTCGGATGCACAAATGAGGACGAGAAAACATGGATGGAGACTGCTCTGCCATCTCTTCTGCTGTCATCTCATTTAATTAGCTTCTCGTTCTGCTTGATGTCGCCCCACGAGCTTTAGATTTAATCACGGAGACCTGCTCACCCTAGAAAACCAACAGACAGAGACTCTATATCAAACCAAGACGCGGTGGACGAAGAACCAGACTGGATATTTTCATCCCCATTTATATGCAAATGCAGGAGATATGCAAATCTCCGACCGTGCAGACCACATTGCACTAAAAGCCTGAATTAGATGCCTGCATGTCGTCTCAGACTGTTTGCAGCACCGTTGTCAGATAATCTAATCAATGGCTTATTATCACTGAGCGCATAAACTTATTCTAATTGCGCAGCTTTATGGATGCACTCAATGATTGGACGACTTCAATTATATAAGATGTTGAAACTTCAGATGCTTTGACTTTAAAGCTTTTACATGAGTGTAATCCATTTTTATTTGACAAATATTATGATTTATTAAATGATAAATATGCAATTGAGGAGTTGTACCACATGACATTTTGCAACATTTTACAATATGATATAATATATGATATTGTAAATTTGACTCACTCTCGGGCCATTCAAGATGTAGATGAGTTTGTTTCTTCATAACAGGTTTGGAGAAATGTAGCATTACATCACTTGAATGGGTGCCGTCAGAAACAGTACAAACAGCTTATAAAAACATCACAGTAATCCACCCCACTCTAGTCCCTCAATTAATGTCTTGTAAAGTGAAAAGCTGTGTGTTTGTAAGAAACAAATTTATTATTAAGACTTTCTTAACTTTAAACCATCACTTGTGGACCAAATATGAGTCCATAATCCATAATAACACTTCCTGCATTAAAAAAGGCCATTACCCACTGTCCTCTCACATTAAAATCCACTGAAATAGTACTGTTTTTGCTTGTATACAGTGCTTAATCTGCGCATATGTTTCTCCTGATTCAGACGAAACCACTTTGTCTCTGGAGAAAGCATATTATATATTACGGACTCATATTTTAGCCAGAAGCAACAGTTTGACGTTACGTAAAGTATCTTAACAATAGATTTGTTTCTTACAAACACACAACTTATCACATCACAAGTCATTAACTGATGGACTGGAGTGGTGTGGATTACTTGTGGATTATTATGATGTTTTTAATCAGCTGTTTGGACTCTCATTCTGACGGCACCCATTCACTGCAGAGGATCCACTGCTGAGCAAGTGATCTAATGCTTCATTTTTGAAGAAACAAACTTTGATATTGCACGTCCCTTTTTGAATGGAACACAGAATCTAATCAATAGCATATTATCACTGAGCATATGAATATTTTCTATAGTTGCATGACTTCATGGATGCAACCAATGACTGTGCAACTCCAATTATAGAAGACATTTCAACTTCAGATGGTCGTTTTTACTTTGACTTTGAAGTTCTTGTTATTTCTGTTTCAATCATCCAGAACCATAGATGCCCATCAGTCACAATCTAGTCCAATTCTTGCCCCACTTCTGCCTCCATGATTGTGCCTCTGGCAGTTAATTACATCCACCAAAGCTTTAAACCCAACAAGATGACCTCTTGAATTCCATGCATTGCTCGCATACATCGTAAAACAGAGTTTATGATGCCAGGACAGCCTTGACGCCTAGATTTTTGGGCACAGGAACAAACGTCCCTAATGGATACGGACAAGTAAAGTGGTTTAGTTTTTCAGCATCTGATCTGTCCTGTTAAAATATCACATGGCACTATATAGGTCATTCCCTGCCGTGCTGAGAACCCGAGAGAGGAGGTGGAAGGCTGTAATGATGGAAAAACATATTTGCGAGTGTGAACATTCAGCCACAGCAGGACTTCAATCAAGAATTGACGCCCACTCGCAGGGCCCGTGTCAGTAATACATAGAAACTTCACCCAGGAAATAAATGGAGTTTGATATTTTGCCATATGACTATATTTTCAATTCAGATTTTATATATGCAAATATTGTAGCTGACCTTGTTAGGGGAAGAAAAAGAAAGTATGTCTGGTAACAACGTCATTTGGGATTGCCATCTTTGAGATCCTGGGATTTAAAGTGAGGAAGAATAGAATTTGTGCATTTTAACACATTTACATATTTGGTAGACACTTTTATCCAAAGCAGCACTGATATTACATTACACAGGTTTGAAGCTGGCAGATTTACATTATGACCTGAAAAAAATTTGTTTAAAACGTGTGCAATTTCTTAGAAATGTAATATCTGTATTCACGTTGTTTTGTGCACAGTTTTTTTTATGTATTTTTCAAGGAAGTTTTTTTTTTCTTACAAAAAGTATAAATTTTTGGACCACATGACATGTAACTAGCCGAACTGACTTTGCCTTTTCATACAGAAGTCCATTTATAATATTTTAATTGATTTATTGACCTCTCTGTGACACAATTTTATATTATAGAAATTATTGGAAATAATGTCACAATTATTTGAAATAAAGTCTCAGTTATGAGTAATGAAGTTGCAAGTATGAGAAATGAAACCACAGTTACAAGATACTTTAGTCACAATAACAGGAAATTAATAAACAGTCATAATAAAGTTGCAGTTATGAGAAATAATGTAGCAATTATGACACATATTTGCAATTGCGAGAAATAAAGTCTCATTTATGAGAAATTAAGTCACAGTTAAATAGTTATTGCAATAACAAGAAATAATGTTGCAATTATGAAATAGTCGCAGTTACTAGAAATAGTTGCAATTATGAGAAATGAAGCCACAGTTACAATATACTGTATTCGCAATTACAATAAATTGATTTACAGTTGTTATAATAATTGCAACATTATTTCTCTTGATAAGACTTTATTTTGCATAATTGTGACTTTATGAGAAATGTCACAGACCTCTCTATGATATAATTTCCTGTTAATATTTTTTCCTGTTCAAATTTTCACAGTATTTTGGCAAACTTTTATTGCATACTTTTTTTTAGTCTCAAAAATATTTGTAATAATTCATTATAATGTCTATAGCTCAAACAGTAGAACATGTATATACATATTTTTAAATGATAATAATATAAGGTTATGCCCAGGTTTTTTTATTTCATTTTTATTGTTAACTTTTTTTATGCATGTATTTTCAATTCTATGCATTAAAATATATCAAATAAATTTTACTTTCAAGTCATTATATGTAGGAATTGCATTTTTAATGTATTTCTGAATACATTAATAGCTTTATGTCATTGACTGATGTTGCACATACCACTTTGGATGCAACGCAGCAAACATTGAGATGGTAGTCCAGATTTTTAAAAAATCTTTTAATTGTACTGTACAGCATGTTTGTATTTTGCAATACAGACTTAAACTACACACAATTTAATAACAAATTAGCCCAAACCACTGCTAATAACCTTAGCGTCAGTCACCTACTGGTTCAGTTTGTATTTTAGATAAATGACGTGGTCTTAAAAAAAGCAGTATTGTAATCTCCTTACTTGAATTAAGCTCCCGTCACATCAGACTGTGTGGGAGACTTTGCCGTCATCATTCCTGGTGTTCTCAATTCCTACATCAAGAGACAGAGTTGTGTTTCTTTGAGACATAGCAGACGAGCTTAGCATAAGCCACAAGGAAGAGGGATTTAGAGCTCAAACGTTAGAAGATGCCTCATTGGTGCTCAGACTAACAGATAGTAGTATTTAACCTGGCTTGTGAAAATCTGTCTAAAAGTGGCATTTCTTAACGTCTCATCACAGTCTGTGTGGCAAAAAAATATATATAAACAGAATGCTAATATGTGCAGGAGTTTAAAGGTTTGTTTAGTATGTACCAAAAATGTAAAAAGTAGTGAGTAGACTTCATTAAAACCTTAAAGTGTAACCACACACATAAATACACACATCTCACCGAATGTTTTTAAGCTTCTTATGGTTTTCCAGAGATGGAGGAGGGTAAAGCTAAGTTAAAGCTAAGTTGTTGAATGTCATTTTACTTAGTTAGGGCGTTTCACACTCTTAATACCCTGCTGGAAAATCCATCTCAAGTTGAAACATGGCAGCTGGTTTGTTAATAGTCTAAACCACTAAACCATTTGGTCCATCAATAAACCAGCTGCCAGCTAAACATAAAGGCTTAAGGCGGTCAGACTGCTTTTTTGGAAAATGGTGGCTGGTCAGCCAGCTAATGACCAACTTGAACCAGTTAGAAACTAGCTATCATGTCCATAAACACCTTTACCAGCTTGAGATGGATTTTCCAGCATGGCAAAGAATCGCATTTGTCTTATATGCTAAGCATGTTAGGTCCAGTGTTAAGTTCAGATATCTTATTTGTTATCTATAGACACTTTCACTTTTATGTATTTTTATGTATTTTATTTTATGTATTTTATAGAAATCTGTTTTTGCTTCATAGCATTATAAATAAAAAGATCTAAAATAAGAATAGTCACACATTACGAGAAATAAATATGCAGTTTTGACAAATGAGAATTATGTACGAGATCTAAAATCACAATTGTTAGAAATAAAATCGCAATTACAAGAAATGGAATTGTTGTTACAAGATGGTTGCAATTATGAGATAGTCACAATTATGAGTTACAAGATACTGTAGTTGCAATTACAAGAAATGTATACACAGTTATAATAAAGTCACAATTATGAGAAATAATGTTGCAATAATGAGATATAGTTATAATTACAAGACATGATGTTGCAATTTTGAGATATAGGGCCCTGTCATACACCCGGTGCAAATTTTTTTTTTGTTTAGCGCGTTAGTAATATGCGCCTATAGGCGGGTGAACAACACGCGTACACTCTGCTTATTACACACACAGGGATGCACAAACATGCCAAAAATGAAAGAATTACAATGTAAAAGATTATTATTGTGCCCCGTAGATGGTCTGCTCGCACACATTAACCTCGCGCACAAGCAGAACCTTTTCTCTCTGGAGAAGCGTTCAGTCTTTGCTCTTGCAAATTCCACCGTGTAAATAGTGAATCTGCCATGGCACAAGCGCAACTGGCTCTTAAAGGGAATGGGAGATGAGACTCTGATTGGTTTATTGCATGTTACGCCCAAAACACACCCATTACTCATTAAGAGAATAGGTACAACCCTTTTGGTTCATGCGCCGGGCGCGCCGACCATTTTTCACATCGTTAAACTAGCAAAAGTGAATTCGGACACACCCTATATGCACTTGCACTGTGTGCTTTAGATCATGCGCTTAGATCGTTAAAATATGGCCCAGAGTCACACTTAAGAGAAATAATGTTGCAATTATGAGATATAGTCACAGTTTTAAGAAATAGTCTCAATTATGAGAAACAGTTGCAATTATGAGAATAAAGCCACAGTTACAAGATACCGTAGTCAAAATTACTAGAAAAAAATTCACAGTTTTAATAGTCGCAATTTAGAGAAATATAGTAGCAAGTACAAGAAATGAAGTCACCTTCTCAAAATAGTCGCAATTACAAGAAATAAAATGTCTCAATTATGAGACATAATGTTGCAATAATGAGATAGTCGCAATTAAGAGAAATAGTCTCAATTATGAGAAATTAAGCCACACAAGATACTGTTGTTGCAATTACGAGAAATATAGTTTTAAATTATAAGTTAAATTATAAGCTTCAATTATGAGAAATAAAGATGCGATTATGAGAAATGAAGTCAATTTCAAGATAGTCACAGTTACACAGTTCACAGTTTAAATTGTCACAAATTACGAGGAAGTAAATTCCCAATTCCATGAACAAAAGTCTCAATTCCAAATTTTTTTTTTTTTTTTTTACAATTTATGAGATATAAAATTACAGTTATGAGAAGACAATCGCATTTGTGAGACAAAGTCATAAGTAAGCGTCACGTTGGGGTCCTGATCACCCTGAAGGGGGTTATTCTGCGATAACAACTGTCTGGATGTACATTATCCTGCTTATTACATGGCTACTTGCCACATGAGTAAATAATTAGACAAGAAATATTGATTTGATTTGAAATATTTGAACGCAAAGCTTCCGTGAAGAAAGCAGTTGTTAGCAAGTGGCAAGTTCAAACTAGATGGACATTTAAGGGATATGTTCCAGTCATACCACTTATTACACAACATTTCACCACATAAATATTTATGGCGATAAAAGATATTGATTTAAGACAAAACTGTTTTAAAATCTTACAAGATTTTGACCTTGCATTGAGTCATCCCTGGATGTCCAGAATCTGCTTCCTGAAGCAAAACCAGTTGCGAACCACTGCCCTATAATAAATGACTTGTTTCAAGTGTGCTTGTTTAATTTATTAAATTAATTTTACTTTTAAATTCAGTCTTCTGCTCCTGTCGGACCTATTGCATTATGAGTGCTTGGAGAAACTGCAGGACAAATGAGAACAAGCACATACACGCACACAGAGGCACTCAATTACACGGCCTGCCTCTAGCAGCAGGACTTCATTAGCCTGTTTGTTGATGAGCTTCCCCATTGTTTTGCATGCACATTAATTTTCCACAGGCCAGTATTAGAGACGGATATTATCACTCGAATGCGACTTCAACAGACCCTCAAGACTCCAAATGATGGATTTTTACTGTTTAAATGAGGGTTTATGAGAGCAATATAGAGAGAACACCACATGTGTGGTGCGCATGTATTTTTTTAAATAAAAATGTATATATATTTTGATATTTATTTTGAGAATCATGTAATTAATACCTATTTTGTGTGTTTAGTGAAAGTTCAGAAAAGTGACCACCCGCACTGCTGGGACCCCTGTGTTAACTACTGCCATTCTCAACATCCTGGTCACTGTAAGACATCGACATGGACCTCTGCTTCCAGTAACCCATCCAGCTCTCAGGATTACTGCAAATGTAACTGCATTACATCATTTTTACACAATTGCCATCCTTTAGGAAGATGATTTGACTAGTTTCCCATAAAGCAATTAAACTACTGCAAACACACTTAACATTGTTTGGCAAAATTCGGCAGTAATGTCTGGTCATTCAAATAGATTATGAGTTTGCATCAAGGCAAAAAAAAAAAGTCCCCCATGCAGATTTTGCTTGTGTTCAAGTTGGTTACACAACATTTCTTGGACAATATCCAGTCATTAAATAGGAGTCTACATATTGTTGAGGGCAAAATATTTTTTATTTTGCAAATCTCACTTGTGTTTCCAGTTGGTCATGCAAATTTGCACAAAATTTCACAGATGATATTAAGTCAAGGTATCCATGCGACTGGGAGTTTAACATGAGGGCAAAGCAGTTTCCCTTATATATTTCGCTTGTGTTCAAATTCACACAAAATGTTGTGGACGATTATCCAGTCATTTAAATAGTAGTCCACACGGTTTGGGAATTTCTCATGAGGGCAAAAAAAGTTTCCCTTGCAGATTTCACTCGTGTTCAAGTTGGTCACATAAATTTGCTTGAAAGTGAGAAAAAAAATTACAATTACAAAAAATGTTGCAATTATAAGAAATAAAGTACTAATTATGAAATATAAAGTCCCACATGATTGAGAGTTTTCCATGAAGGTGGAAACGTTCCCCTCGCAGATTTCTCACGTGTTCAGGATGTTCAAGTGAATTTGCCACATTGGCCAATAGAAAGCTGCTTGGTTTGAATGTGACTTCTTTGTGACCTTTGCTTCATATTGGCAATAGTATTGATGTTTTTTTTGCTCTGAAATTTCAATGAAATATCACTAATATGACCCCACTTTTATTCTATGCTTTTTTAGCATTTTGTTTAGTCTGGGTTTCCTGCACCAAAATGCTGTTTTTACTGACCGACTACCATTTTCTTCAGAAAATCTACCTCTCTAGTTGAAGTCATCCATCTTCATTTACATGGAAAATAGCATTACGTTAATATGGAATATTGTTCTTAACCCAGACATCCACCTCCCAGCAGTTGTCTCCAAATCGAATATAATGTCCCCTTAAATAACAAATGCTTAGTGCATAGATCTGCAAAGACTAGCAAGGGACCAATAGAATATGGATCATTAACCTGCAGTGAGCTGCTCAGTCTCTTGGACCATTGCCATCTCTTTGATTTAAAATGTTTAAAATGCGGCTACACTGCCTGACTTTCTCTCTCCTTTCCTCTCTCTTCTCTCTAGCGGTAGTCTGCACAAACTTCTCTCCTGGGTCCACTACCACATCAGGCATGACCAGCCAGGGTTCCAGCACGCTGCCCCGGGCCGCTCCTCCCATGAGCCCACGGAACTCTATGCTAAAGAGACGACAAAGGAAAAAAGAGCACAAGAGCTCATGTAGGTGACTGGATCAGTTTTCTTGTGATATTTCCTGTTTGACATGACTATATAACGACTACAGCGCTATATAAACAGTGTCTTAATGCATTTCATAAGTGACTGATTTGTGAAGTTCTACATAGGCTGTTTTTAAATGGCTTCTCATGAAACGACTATACACATAACTGATTCCAGTAGAGTTAGATGTTAGCTTGTTGATAAGCTAAAGAACAATGGTCTAATGGTGCATTAAATGTAGTTCTAAATGTAGGTTTGGGCGGAGCCTAATCATTCAATCCTGTCAATCATCATTACAAGTCTATAATAGCAGCATTCATTGTGCTGTCCCAGAGACAATTCTTCCGGCAGCCGTAGTTGCATAGTTAGTATTGTATTGTATGGTATCGTAGGTTTTTTATTTTTTACCTAAACCAATTTTATTATAGGTGTTAGCATGTTTGCTAAGCTAATAACACAGTAGCCTACTGGAGAGACATTTATGCAATACATAGCATATACAAATACTGCGTAAATCATTTATTTTTAATTACCCATATAGCACAGGTACGTCGGCAAGATGTCTGTTAAAGATCTTTTCATCTGGAAAGCATCTGCTGTGTACAAACATCTGATAGACGTCTCTAAGATGTCAGTTTTACATTCATTCTAAATCATAAACATCTTAAAGACATCTTCTAAACATCTATTTGACATCTGATAGGAAACGTCCTATAGACATACTGCAGATGAACAAACACTCTAAAAAAATACGTCTTGCAGATGTAATGCAGACGTCAAATAGACGTCTCTGTGATGTACGTGTGCTATCAGGGTAGGCTGAACTATTTTTATCTATTGCAGTTATTTTTGTAGTTAGATGTTAGCATGTTGCTAAGCTAACAACTAAGCACTCTAAGAACCGTTACAATACATAAACACGTATTGGGTATTAAATTATTTTTATCTATAAATTAAACTACTTTTATTTATAGAGTTAGCATGTTGCTATGCTAACAACACAGGCACTAGGCACTATTAGGCAAATGTACAAACAAATATATGTTTTATCTATTGGTTAAACTTTTAGTAGCGTTGGATGTTAGCATGTTGCTAAGTTAACAACACAGTACTCTTAGCACTATTACAAAAACACAGTGAACACATCAAATTGATTTTACTAAACAGTTTTTTATATCATTAAAATGCCAGCGGGGATGTTAGCATGTTGCTAAGCTAACAAGAAATGTGTATACTTCATTACTGAATACTTTTGCGTTTATCTTACTTCATTCCTCCATCTTGGATAGATTTTATTGGTTTTGGAATAGAGTTTCAATTTTACGTTTACACTGAATTTATTTGACCATCGCCCTCACGTTTTTTGTGTCTTTTGCAGCATCTCACACATGATGTGCGTTCTGAAAATGTTCTGTTCACGTTAAAAGAAAACCTTAAAACATGCAGTGTATTTCTAGCCCTTGCTGTTGCTGTTTATTTTTCATTCCATTGGCCTGTGTCTCACATTTTTAAACATAAAACCACATTGTGTGTGAACAGCCCCTTAATGGATTAAAACCAATTGTACATTTATGCTATTTCTGTTGTGATATTTTCTGTCTGTTCTCTGTTTAGCTGTGTCTTTAGCCTCAAGTTCTGTGGGCCCTGGTGGTCAGATAATCCACACCGAGTCCAGTGAGGTCACTCTGAGAGGAGATCCTCTAAACGGGTTTGGGGTTCAGCTGCAAGGTGGAATATTTGCGACGGAGACCCTCTCTGCACCCCCTCTTATTCGCTTTATAGAGCCGGACAGCTCCGCCGAAAGGTATGTCCCAAACTTTAACTCAACCATGTACACAAAACACAGCTATCCACTCTAACTCAAGCACATATAAACACACTATTAGGTGCCACAACGGACTGAGAATCTGTTGAAAATGCAAGCAGATCTTGTAAATATACCAGTATTTTCAAATGTATGCCATACGACAGAGCCGCCATACACTGACTCAGTGAGAGGTGCTTGAAAATGATCAAGCTGGATGTGATACTGCCTCAGAATCTGGGTCAACACTCAGCAGGAAACTCGCATTGCAAAAGAATCATGCCTTTTCTCGGCAACGTTTACGAAAGAGACTTTCATTTTTAATTTAAGAGGTTGGAATGTGTCTTTGCTACACACTGCACTCTTAAAGGGAGGGAGATATTTAGGAAGGGTCTCCAAAATGAAACTCAATCCACCAGTAGCCCCTCACTGCAGAACAAAGATCCAGGGTGCGGGGTTTGATCCACATCTAGGGGGTGGAGATGGTTGGTTTAGGGGTGGAGATGGGTGGGTTTAGGGATCAGGGGGTGGAGACGGGTAGGTTTAGGTATATGTAAGGTGGGAGGAGTTGGATCTGGATCCAACCACGCCCCCTGGATCATGTGTTCTGCAGTGAGGACCATCTCCAATCCACTGGAAAGACAAATGACAAGAGAATCTCTTTAACATCTCAAATGCTTTTTCCTAGACAGCAGTGAGATTAAATGGGAGAGCTAATGGATCCTAACTTGTGTCTCATGCACCCAAGCTAAAAAGACCCCAGTAATCTCACGTCACATCCAGAGTTTCACAAGAAACTGCTCTTGGATTTGCCAAGATACCTAAAATCTAAACTTTTACTGTATGTCAACAGTTGTCACAGTTGGGACTCTTTATTTGATCAAAGGACTTTTAGGAGAAACATCTGAGACTAAGTTTATACTAACATTTTGCTAACTATAGCTTTAAACTCTTATCTCGAAAAGTGTTTTGTTTGTGTCTCTTTTTATTTGTCCCAGAGAATTTCAGAAGAGATATCTGAAACTAAGTTGTCACATTAGTTGCTTTGCTAACTTTTTGCTAACATTTGGCTAAGTTGATACAAAAGTGCTACATCCACTGTTTGGCGAACATTGTTAATTGGCTCTAAACTCTTACTGTATGTCAACAATTGTCTCATGGGTCTCTTTGTATTTGACCGAAGAAATTGTAGGGACATGTGGAACCAAATTGCTACAAAGGTGCTATTTCAGCTGTTTTGCTATCATTTGGCTAGCATTTTGCTAACTATAGCTCTTCTTACTGTACGCCAACTGTCTCACGGGTCTCTTTTTATTTGAGATTGTTTTTTATTTTAACTTAAACATCTGAGAATAAGTTGATACAATCACACACTCTTTCCAAAGACATGCCAGCAAACCCAACAAAAACAAAGGCCTCAATAGAGCCAAGCTCGACATTTTACTGTATTTGCCGTCACTGGATGAGGCCCTAAATAAACTCTCTGTAATTATATTCAGATTTGTAAATGTGTCCGTTTCTGTTTGTTCTTGAAGCTCAGTGCGTGAGTCATTCCTGGTGTGAGATTGTTGTAGCATGAAGCAAGTGATTTGATGTGTGTTGAGCTGTGTTGTACTGTGGCAGTGTGTGACATTTGTGGTGTTTGGGCTGGAAGTCATGGCATGTCAGGTCAGTTGTTCTCTTCCATGCACACATGGTTACCCACAGTGACACTGGGCTTGCATAGAAACCTGAGAAAATAAGTAAATCATGCATTTTTGTTGTTGTGTTTGAAAAAAATCAACAACTTTTGAAATGGTTTTCAGTCAGACTTTTGACTACTGGCATGAAGTCTGGTCCACTTTGCACATTATTTTGGCCAGGAACCGCCCATTTAAAGGGATAGTTCCCCTGAAAATAAGAATTCTGTCATCATTTATGAATGATGGTAAACCAGACAGTTGATGGTAGCCATTGACTTCCATAGCATGGAAGAAAATTACTATTGAAGTCAATGGCTACCAGCAACTGTTTGGTTACCAACTTCCTTCTTTTGTGTTCAACAGAAGAAATAAACTCATACAGGTTTGGAAACAGCTTAAGGGTGAGTAAATGATGACAGAATTTTATTTTTTGGGTGAAGTGTCCCTTTAAGAGGTGTTTGGATTGACAGTGATTCAGTCGCTGGAGGAAGGGAACATGAAATGACCATTTCTAGAGCATTTTAGTCCTTCTATCTTGTTTTGATTGGCAGGTGTGGGCTTCTCCAGGTTGGAGACAGAGTCTTATCCATCAATGGAATTCCTACAGAAGATGGAACGCTGGAGGAGGCCAATCAGCTGCTCCGGGATGCTGCTCTGGCCAATAAGGTCACGCTAGAGATTGAGTTTGATGTGGCAGGTTAGAGAGGTTTCCAATTTCTTAAAACGTTAATTTCTACATTTTCCACAAAGAGGTCTTAAAACATGAATTTCTTGCTTTGTTTTCAGTTTTTATTGCTATTTAATTGAAAATCACACTTGTATTTGTACTTCATCATAATGCAGTTTTTTGTTGTGTGGCCAGAATCTGTTGTGCCTAGCAGTGGTACATTTCATGTGAAGCTGCAGAAGAAAAAAGGAGTGGATCTGGGCATCACAATCAGTGGTAAGATCTCACGATTAATTTTTCAATAGGGTGTCAAGGGTCTGGGAATCTTCTTCACTTAGCTTGGTCAACATTGCAGCATATTTTGGTAAGAACTGCCCACTTAGATGTGAAGAAACAACTTATCTACTCAGGCATCATAACGTTTGGTTATTTGTCGCGCAGTAACCTGCAAATAACTTGAAACATAAAAATGTTCTTTTAGCTAATAAATTTAAGATTAACATTCGCACTTGCCACCATCACCCATGCAATGCTTCCTGATGATTTGGATATTAACAATATGATTCACTAATGAAGTCAATAATAATAATTATAGCCACACGACAGTTTGTGCCAATAGATTAAAGATACAAAGTAATCTTGTATTATTGAAGTAATTACAAAAATATCTTAAAAATAACGTTTAAAAATAAAACTGTTCAAAGTTAAACCAAGTCACTTAGATCCTAGCATGTTATGATAATATGTATATGTATATGTATATGTATACACATTACCAATTAAAAGTTTGGGAAAATGATTGTTTTAATGTTTTTGAAAGTCTCTTCTGCTCACCAGTAAAAACAGTAATATTGTGAATATTATTACAATTTAAAATAACAGTTTTCTGTTTTAACATATTTTAAAATCAGTGTCAGAAATCATTCTAATATGCTGATTTAATAAATAAATTAATAAAACCAGTTACAATCAAAGTAACTTTTTTATATAATTTATAATATAGAAAATTCAATTTAATTTTACTATATTTTACTCTATTAGTGTAATTATTTTTTTGTAGCAAAGATGTTCAAAAGACTTTGATATGGTTTGGTTTCAATAACAAATGTTACTATGACTGCCAAAAAAAATGACTATATGAACAAAATAGACACAAATATATATAAATATATGTTACCGTATAATTGTAGTGTTTAAAAAAATATTTTGTGATTTGATTTTAATAAAAACACTTTGTAATATGCAAAAACTGCTATATGTAAATGAGCAAGATAAAGTAATAACAATAATAATATAAGCAGAGTGTTACAGTATTGCTGGCTTGTGTCATTTAAGGTCAATTTAAGTAAGTTTACTTTAGGATTGCTAATTTGCATTTATTTTTGTAACGATAACACTAAAAGTCTTATCATGTACTGGAAAGTCGGCAAGATTTCGTTTTTCTTTTTGCTTTGCTGATCTGTTTTCATCCCCAAAAACATTTAAGCCATTCCCTCTGAATCTTTTTTGGAGGAGATTTTAAGATCCCTCTCTCCCTGGCCTATTTTACCATTCTCCGTTTCGCTTTTCAAACTCGCCAAGACGCAGTTCAACTTTATATCCCCAAATGGACGGGAAATAAACCCACACAAATATTTTGACATCATGCTCTGTGTCATTAAATACGTCTGCATATCGGTTTTCCTCACGGAGCATGTTTGTATCCAGACCACCCGATCTGGGGCGTCCCGTCTCGTCTCGTCCTTGTCATTATATTAGCCCTGATCAACAGAGCCTCCTTTTCTGAGGAAGTGTTTATGTGGCTCTCATAGGCTTTCCGTGGGCTTGTTTACTTGAGCTGGCTTCTTTCCATCTGGCGTTCCTCTAAAGCTTCTGTAAGGCGTAAACCCTGAGGGATCATGGGCCATTAAACTTGTATTATACTTGCATGCGTGCTGATATGAATCACAGGCTTTGCATTTGTACCACATGCACAAAGAACTCTATCCATCAGTGAACAGACTCTGACCACTTCTGTCAGATTCACAGCCGCACATGTTTAAGTGCAGTTCTTTTCTTGTCCTTCAGACGTCTGAAACGTCTTAAAATACTGTGCTTGGCGTATAGTAATGTGTGTGAGGCACTTTGAGGGTTAGAAGAGAGTCAAAATCAGATTTGAACCTGAATCTCTTCACTGTAAAAAAAAAAATTTACGGTAAAAAACCGGCAGCTGTAGTTGCCGGAATTTTACCGTAAAAAATACGGTAGCAACATTTTAGGTTTTACGGTTTTAACTTACATTTACAGTTAAATAACTGTAGCGTCTGGACCAATCAAACACACAATATATATTTTGTTTTTATATTTAACAAATACCCTGTAACCCCCCTCAGTTAAAAAGCCATATGAGGACCCATGAACCCTTCCCCCCCGGAATGCGTAACACCCCAGGAAGCCGAACCGGCCCCTTGTTGCATGGCAACCAACGCTGATATCACTGGGTTTATTGGCCAAAAGAATGTAAAGCAGGGAAAATCCCTGCATGTCCCAGGACAAAGGCAGAATAGAAATGGACTGTGCTCTGATTAATTCATAGGAAAACCTTTCTTTGAATGAACACACACATTCTTCAGGCCATTGTGTATATTATTGCTGTTTTGTATTAATCTGTTGTATTATAGACTATTTTATTCATGCTTACGATAAACCACTCATTCATATAACCTTACATATACCGTGTTTAGTATCTATGATCGCCTTCTTATGATCGAAACAAGCGTGTATATTATATATTGGTACATAGGCAATATATATTAGGGTCCTGAGAACTTTTAGTAATTTCGATTCAAGTCCATTTCTATTTTACCATGCTTTCAAACAAAGCGCCATAAAAACGCCCACTTGGGATTCCGGCCTCTCTCATTGGTTAAGCCCATCTTGA